GGGGGCGGCCCAAGGGTATGTGGACATCCCTCCGGTTGAGCGCGCGATGCAGCTCGGCCCGCAGAGCGCCGCCGCCTGGAGAGGTAGTCCACGCCTTCCGTCCAGGGCCTGTAGGTTCTCATCCGCTCTGACGGCTAAGGCTTACAGTGCCGCTGGACAGGCCGCTTCCGCCCTGCACGCCATGGCCCTCCTGCAAGTCCACCAGGCCAAGGCGTTGAAGCAGTTGCACGAGGGTGGTGCTGACTCGGGTGGGCTGCAGGAACTGCGCACGGCGACGGACCTCGCGCTAAGGGCGACGAAAGTCACGGCGCAGGCCCTGGGTCAGACGATGTCCACATTGGTGGTCCAGGAGCGCCACCTATGGCTGACCTTGGCAGATATGAGGGAGGCCGACAAGCATCGCTTCCTGGACTCCCCGATCTCCCAGGCCGGCCTATTCGGCGAAGCGGTGGAGGGCCCAGGCCGGCCTATTCGGCGATGCGGGGGAGGGCTCTGCCCAACAGTTCTCCGCCGCACAGAAGCAGACGGAGGCATCTCAATACATCCTGCCCCGGCGGTCGGCTGCTGTAGCCACCCCACCGCCCGCTGCAGCCCCTCTGTCTGCTCGTCGCCGAGAGCGCCCTCCTGTGGCCTCTATCTCCGCTCCAGCTCGGCCGCAGCAGCAGCCTTCACAACGGCCGCAGCGTGGAGCTGGCCGCAGGAAAGCGGCGCAGCCCGCCTCTGCCCGCAGGAAAGCGGCGCAGCCCGTCTCCGCCCCTGCCAAGCCCGTGAAGCGCCAGGGCGGGCGGCGTCCCTGTGACGTGCGACCCGGAGTTCTTGGATCCAGCTCTTCAGGAGGTGGTGACCGCACCACTCCTTCCCCCGGCGGAGGGCCGGGTGGAGAAACCTTTGTTCCTGGTTTTTTCTATTCCGCCACTGGCTACCCAGCCAGTGGTGCCCAAAACCTCAACAGAAGAGCGGGTTCCTTTTTCTCCGGGTTCCAAGAGGGCGAGGAGGGCAGTGCGCGAGACCCAGTCTCCACATGGCCGTCCCCCTCTCCCTTCGCCAATGGGCAGCAGGGTTCGGTTCAAGGACGCTATGCCTCCTCACGAGCCCCCTGCCCAGCCGTGGAGCCAGGTAAGTGGCGCGCCGCGCACTCAGACCCCACCCTGGGACGCACGGCCTCCCGGGTTGGGTCCCTGTGTTCCACTGCGCTGCCCCACTGCGGGTACGTCGGTGGTTGAACCCTGCCCGAGGTATGTCAAACATGGTTCCTTTGAGTGCGTTGGCAGGGTATCTGGATGCTTGGTTAAGCCTCTCCAATCCCTCCCGATGGCTCCTCAGAACCATTTGGCTCACGCGGCTACTTCAGTTCGCCCGGCGCCCGCCCAAGTTCAGGGGCATTCGGTTCACCTCTGTGCCGGACAAAGATGCTCCTGTCTTGCGTGCAGAGATCGCGGTCCTGCTGGCGAA